GTCTTAGTTCTGTGTGGTCTATAATAGTTAAGCTTTCTGTTTTCTTACTGGCTTTCTGTGTGGTTATTGATCTATTATTGGAAGTGGGATATTGAAGTTTCCTTCATTGCTGTGTGTCTCTCCTCAATTCTATCAGTATTTGCCTTATATATTTAGGTGTTTCAGTATTGGCTGCTTTGTTTAATGACAGTCGTGTCTTTAATGGAGGGAATACTTGTTAAGAAAAGTATCATTGGGGAGACCAGCAGATGCCGTAATGGTTACATCGCTGGACTCCTATATAGTCGACCATGGTTCACGTCCTGGACCCGGCGAATTAAAACTCATGCTGGGCACGAGTGTGTGCGTGCCCAAGATCCCAAGAGGAGAATGGAGAAGGGATTGGGGTGTGGTCATCTGCTCTGGGGGGGATTTCTCACTTTCTGTCTCTCTGTCTCTCCAGTGAGTGCATGTGCCCTATAGCAAAAATATCTCTCTCAAAAAAAATAAAAGTATCCTTGGGACTAGCAAGTGGTGTAGTGGTTATGCCGGACCCCCACATAGCTGACTGTGGTTTGAGTCATACTCAGTGGCTTGAAAATCATGTTAAGCACGTATGCATTGTGTGTGTCCAAGATCCCAGGAGAAGTGATTGTGGTGTGACCATCTCTCCAGGGGTGATTTCTCACTTTCTCTCTCACTGTCTCTGTCTCCCTGGCAAGCATACGTACCTTATGGCAAAAACCTCTAAAAGACATAAGAAGCATCCTTAGGTGGTTTCGTCACAGGGACATCATTAGATGTTATAGCCTCCTACATGCCAAGGCTACATGGCATTACCTTAGAGGACCATGGTCTGTCTGTGGGCCGTTGCTGTTTTTACCTTCCTTGTGGATTAATCATTATATAATGTCCTTTATCTCTTGTGACAGTTTTTGAATTAAAATCTGTTCTGTCTGATGTTGGTATGGCTTCAGCCTATATCCTAAAATCTAGAAAATTTATGTCTCTTGTAGCAAGCACATAGTTGGATATTTTTTAAAAATCTATTTAGCTATTCTGTGTTTTTTGATTGTGGAGCTTAATCCATTTACATATTGCTAGATTAGAACTATTAGCATTTTGTTCATTGTTTTAAATCTTGAATCTCTTTTGTCCCATTTTTCTTGTCTACTTTGTGTTTTTTGTTTTGTTTTGTTTTTGTAATAACGTGATTTGATTCCATTTTTATTCTCTTGTGTATCTTCTATAGGTAATTACCTATTCTTTTTGGTTAGCATGGGGCTTACATAAAACATCTCTAATCACATACAAAACTATTCTCTTACTCCCTGTCCTACACTTTCCTGATTCCACTAAGTCTTTTACTTTAATGCATACATTTTCTTTTCTATTACAAATGGAAATAGTAGGGCCAGCCTAGGGCCTAGTGTTTAAGGGAGCTGGATCCCACATTGCTGACTACGTGGTTCGAGTCCCAGACCTGGTGGTCTGAAAAATATGCTGGGTATTTGTGCATGTGTTTCCAAAATCCCAAGGGGAGAGAGAAATGGAGAAGGGGTTGCAGTGTGATCAAGGCCCATTGCAAGTGCTTTCTCCCTTTCCCCTCTCTGTCTCTCTGGTGAGCACACACACACTCTGACAGTTTTTTTTTTTAGAGAGTGATATATGGGGCTGGCAGATGGTGTGGTGGTTAAGGGCACTGGACTCCCACATGACCAACTGTGGTTCGAGTCCTGGACCTGGAAGTTTACTTTCTCTCTCTGTGTCTCTCACTTTTTCCCTCTCTGGTCAAACTAAAATGAATAAATAAATAAAGCTAAATAAAATAATTATTTTTTTTAAAAAGTGATATGTTAATTAGCTTGATTTAATCATCCTACATTTCATATATGTATGTATATATATGTATATATATATACACACACACATATATATATATGTCTCAAAACATCATCCATACCCACATGAATGTGTGGAGTTATGATTTGTCAATAGAAATTAATATTTAAAAAATAAAATAAAACTAGCAGGTGAATTTTTCTACTAGCCATCAAGACTAAATATGTGGTTATAGTATCTAAGCTTTTATTTGTGATTAAAAAAAATTCTTAGAAAAAGAGAGATAGTAATCTGTTTTGATAATCTAGGGGTTCTCAAAATGTGATTTGCACATTGTTGCAGGAGGTCCCTGAGACTTTTTCAGGGGGATCCCGAAGGTCAGACCTGTTTTCACAATAATTCTAGGATATTGTCTTTTTCATTGTATTAATGTAATGATAATCCGAAACCAATAGGGAGACACACCTGCTGACTTTGGATGGAATTGTACTAATCATCATCATATTCTTTAGTGCTAGTAAAAATAAAAGCCAGCTTTACTTAAGGGTGTGATTAGAACAATAGATAATTAATTTTATTAAATATAAACCCTTGAGTACATTCCTCATTTTTTTAAAGTTTTTGCCATAGGGAGCATGTGTTTGCTGGAGAGAGACAGAAAGAGGGGAAGTGAGAAGTCACCCCTCAGGGGAGTTGGCCATGCCACAGTCCCTTCTCCTCCATTTTCTTCTTGGAATTTTGGGCACGCACACACCTGCACCTAGCATGATTTTCAAGCCACTGGGTCTGAGGCTCAAACCATGGTTGGCCAAGTAGGAGTCTAGCACCTTAACCACCACACCACCTGCTGGCCCCTCTATTTTACATTTTTCCATGTAATCTGTCATCATATGGAAGATCTGCATGTGTCAGGGTACCAGTATTTTCCAAAATAGCAGAAAAGGCATAGATGTTATAAAATCTTTCCAGTGTAAAAGATCCACTAAACTTGTGAGATAGACCAATGAATTCTGATAAAACAGAATATGATAATTTCATTGAGGTAGTTTCAGATCCTACATTCTGCTAATAGTTAAGAAATTGCCATTTGTTGGGACTAGCAGATGGCATAATAGTTACGTTGCTGGACCCCCATGTAGCTGACCATGGTTTGAGTCCTGGACCCAGTGGCTTAAAATTCATGCTGGGCACGCGGCGTGCATGCCCAAAATCCCAAGAGGAAATTGGACACCCCTGGGAGGGGATTTCACTCTTTCTGTCTCTCTTCAGTGAGTGCACATGTTCTATAGCAAAAGTCTCTCTTAAAAACAATAAAAAAGGGAACCAGCAGTTAGCGTAATGGCTATGTCGCTGGACTCCCACGTAGTCGAACGCGGTTCGCGTCCCAGACCCAGTGGCATAAAACTCAGGCTGGGCGTGTGTGCGTGCGTGCCCAAGATCCCGAGAGGAGAATGGAGGAGAAGGGATTGCAGCGTGACCATCCCCCTTGGGGGGTGATTTCTCGCTTTCTGTCTCTCTGTCCCTCTCTGGCTGGCTGACGAGTGTACGCACCCTATAGCGAAAACCTCTCCCCCCAAAAATAAAAAAGAAATGACCATTTGTTGAGGTTTGGTATAGTATCAAAAGAACCTACAGTTATCTCAAAAAGCTATTCATAAACTTCTTTTACCAACTACTTATCTGTAAGGCAAATTTTCTTGATATTTACTATACTAAAACAACATTGCACAAGAGTAAATGTGAAAGTATGTATGAGAATCTTAACAGTTTATTCTCAAGACAAACATTAAAGAGGATTGCAAATATGTAAACCAGTGCCCTTCTCTCACTAATTTTTCCTTTAGAAAATGTTTATTTTTTTCATTAAAGATACTTGTTAATATCTAAAGATTTGATATTGTTGGTTTTAATTGAATTAATTTTTTTAAAAAATGTTTGCAATACAACTCATGTGCTTGCTAGAAACAGGGAGAAAGATAGAGACACAGGTTAAGTGGGAAATTACCCCACCGCACAGGGGACGTGACCATGCTGAAATCCCTTCTCCATTCTCCTCTGAGGAGTTCGGGCATGTATGCATACACGCCCGGCTTGTTTTTCAAGCTGCCGAGTCTGGGACTTGAACTGTGGAAATGGCCACTTAGGAGCCAGTCCCTTAACCACCACACCACCTGCTCGTTCAGTTTTTTCTTATTTTTAATCTCTCTCTCTCTCTCTGTCTCTCTTTAAGTTTCTGTCTTCTGAGAGAGACAGAGACAGGCACCCTCGACAGGGTCTTGATGCCACAACCCACTGAGCTTCCACTGCCTCAGATCATGGTCACACATGTGCCCCACACACTCAGGGAGGTTCCAGTTGTAAACCTGGAACCTTTCCCATGGGCCAGCCTCACAGAGCGTTCCACAGCTGCAGTGCCACCAGCTGACCCTTCATTTTTCATTTCTAATGCCTTAATATCTGTAGGTAAACCGCACCTAAATGGAGCACGATAGGATCTTCAGTAATTTCTAAGATAACAAAGAAATCCAAAAGTTTGAGATTTTTACCCTCCCAGGGTTGTTGAAAGTCAAGTGAATGTATTCAATAAGTAAAATAGTTTTGTGAAAAATCTTGAAAAACTTTTTTTTTAAATTTGTGATAGATTAAGTATTGGTGGAGTCTTACGTGAGAGAGAGACGAGCACCCTCCTTTTCCTCCAGTCCTGCAGCTCATCAGATCTTGGGCGTTTGCACTTGTCCCCATTGTGTTCAGGCTGACCAGGCTGAGGCCTCATGGAATTCAGCTTCCCTGAAGCAGTATTACTCCTGTGCCACAGAGCCAAACCCAATTTTGAAATAATTTAGATGTAAATTTAAAAATAGTTTTTGAGCTCCCATTGTTATAGTGCTATGCAAGTCAAGTTAGGACTTTCGAGAAGAGCATGGAAAGAGAACCACTTAAATAATTGTTAGTAAGGAGCTTGTTAGCTCATAAGGGAAATGAAGGGGAGATGTCACATACAACTCATCTGTTCCATAAGTTAACGAAGAAGCAACTTTATAATGGAAGCATATTTTGTAATATGGACACACACAGCAAACAGTGCCCTGGAATTCATGAATATAGTTTATTACTGTGGTATAGTTACTTTTTAATTTTTTAAGTTGTGCCTTTTGCTTTGTTACCTCACTGAAAGCAGGATGGGTCATCAGCAGCTTTACTGGAGCCACCTGCGAAAATTCAACCAGGGCTCTCGCTCTTGCCGCGTGTGCTCCAGCCAGCACGGTCTGATCCGGAAATACGGCCTCAACATGTGCCGTCAGTATGCAAAGGACATAGCCTTCACCAAGTTAGACTAAATGATCTTCCTTGAGTGGATTGTCCAGGATATCCACCCAGTGAAAGAAGTCATGCTGGCTATTTGTATATAAAATAAAATAAATAAAACCCTTCGGAAAAAAATTTTTTTAAGTTGTTCCTTTCTTCCCTTGCAGGTATAGAACAAGATGCAGTGAATACTTTTACCAAATATATATCTCCAGATGCTGCTAAACCAATACCAATTACAGAAGCAATGAGAAATGACATCATAGGTAAGCCACACTTGAAGCTATAATAAAAAGAAACACCTGACTTTTTGGTATTAAATAAGAGACTATTTTATGAACATAGACTGTATAATAACAGTTCTTAATCTGTTTTAAGAGTACTTTCTTGTATATGATTATAGCTCACTTAGAAAGCTTCCCTTCCCTCATGTGTGTTGGACTTAGATTCTTAAAATGTTGAACTGAGGACCAGCTAGTGGTATTGTGGTTAAGGTGACTGGATTCCACATGGCTGACTTCGTGGTTTGAGTCCTGGACCCAGTGACTTGAAAAACACACTGAGTACATGTGTGTGCAAGCCCAAAATTCTGAGAAGGAAATGGAAGAGAAGGGATTATGATGTGGCCATTCCTCCTGGGGAGTGATTTCTCATTTTCCCTCTGTTTCTCTCTTTGTCTCTCTCAATCTGTCTCTCTCTTTCATGAGCACACATGCCCTAAAGCAAAAACAAAAAACAAACAAACAAAAACTTTGATTGGAATAACAACTGCAAGAAATATAATAGTTAGTACTAAACACTTACTATGTACCAGACAATATTTTAAGAATTATACATGGATAAAACTCATTTTAATCTTCTAAAGAGCCTTGTAGGGTAAATATATTTATTCTTGTTTTTTTTTTTTTTTTTTTTTTTTTTGGATAGGTTTTTTTTCCTAGGCGCATACAAGCAAGGCTATACGGCGCATGCACTCACCAGAAAGACAAAAAGTGAGAAATCACCCCCAAGGGGGGATGGCCACACCACAATCCGTTCTCCTCTTGGGATCTTGGGCATGCATGTACACACGCCCAGTGTGAGTTTAAGCCACCAGGTCCGGGATTTGAACCGCGGTTGACTACATGGGAGTCCAGCAACATAGCCATTTTGCCAACTGCAGGTCCCATTATATTTATTCTTTCATGAATGAGGAGAGAAGTTAAGTACTTTGTCCAAGTTAGCACAGCTCAGACATAGCAGAGTAGGGATTTGAAACTAGACTCCCACGCCTTACCTATCATGCTGTGTTAGCATGGGACTAGATGACATTACCATAAGACTAAATGGAATGAGGGAAGATTAGAGGACTGAGTCCTGGGTCATGTCTAGCAGTTAGAAGTCTGGCAGATGAGGAAGAGCTGACCAAGGAGCCTTAGGAGGAACAACCATCAAGTGGCCCTTTTACATTGACTGTATTTCATTTTTTTCTGGAAGCCAGGTTAAAAAGAAAGTTTCTGGGAAGGAGTGATAAAAGATATAAAATGATGCCAGTAGGTTAAGTAAGACGAAGACTAGGAATTGAATGCATTTGGCAACCCAGTGGACACTGGTCATCTTAGTTACAGTGGGCTGTTACAGACGGAACTTAATTGGAGGAGTTGTGAAACAAAATAGGAGGATTGAAGACAGAAAGTATTGACAACTGTGTGAGCTATGTTGTTCTGAGAATGAGCTGGAAGGGGATATTAAGTCAAGGGATATTGGTCTTCAATTTTGTTTTAAGGTGCGATATGTTATAAGTGTATAAGATGTGTTACAGTGTTCAAACAGGTAGACTGCATAGCGTTCAGTCAGTACAGCTGATGAGAATGAGGCAGTATCAGAGGGAGAGTTGATATAGGAGAGGGGACAGTTGTTACAGGAGAGAAGCAAAAGAGGATGGATTCCAGTGCCCAGAAAGAAGGTTGCTTGGGCAGGAGCAAGGACAGTCCATTTGTAGCTACAGGAGAGAATGCAGAAGTGGTGGAGATACAGATGAGTTGGAAGATATGTGAGTCTTCTGATTGCTTCTCTTTTCTCAGTGAAGTGGTAAGTCAAGTCCTCCACAAAGAGAATAGGACTAGAGGTGTTGGAATTTGAGCAAGGTGTACCATGTCGGCATATAAAACAAAGTTCATTTTTCGGGACCAGCAGTTAGCATAATGGCTATGTCGCTGGACTCCCATGTAGTCGACCGTGATTCCCATCCCGGACCCGGTGGCTTAAAACACGCCGGGTGCGTGTGCGTGCGTGCCCAAGATCCCGAGCGGAGAACAGAGGAGAAGGGATTGCGACGTGGCCATCCCCCCTGTGGGGTGATTTCTTGCTTTCTGTCTCTCTGTCTCTGCCTGTCTGGCAAGCACATGCGCCCTATAGCAAAACCTCTCCCCCCTAAAAAAAAAAGTTTATTTTTCCTACTGTGCTGTGACAATACAGAACACTTCTGCAACCCCAAATGTATGGGAGTTTTTCCCCACCAACAACCGATTCTGCTGCTGATACTCTAAAGCAGGTGTCCCCAGCCCCCAGGCTACGGACCAGTACTGGTCTATGGCCTGTTGGGATCCAGGCCACACAGCAGGAGGCTAGTGGCGAGTAAATCATTGAAGCTTCATCTGTATTTGCAGCCTCTCCCCATTGCTCACATTACCACCCGAGCTCCGCATCCTGTCAGATCAGCACTGACATGAGATTCTCTTAGGAGCGCGAACCTCTTGTGAACTGTGCATGGGAGGAATCTAGATTGTGCATTCTCATAAACCATCCCATCACCACCCCCACCCGTGGAAAAATTGTCTTTCGCAAAACTGGCCCCTGGTGCCAAAATGGTCAGGGACTGCTGCTCTCGAGGATAACAGCTGAATGTCCTTTAATCTGATTGAGTTCTGACACACTGTACGTTGGAGTTAGTCTCAGATCTCACAGGTTAAGGCTTCAGCCCCACAGGACCTCACTTAAGATGTGCTTCTGGCCTGTTTATTATCTTACAAAAGATACAGATAAACAACCAGATGGAGGACATTTGTAGGGTGAGGTATGGGAAGGGGCACACAACTTCTATGTCCTCTGCGTACAAGCCACCCTCCAGGAACTTCCACCCCTTCACTCTCAGCCCTGACCTTTTGTGTGTGATTCTTAGGCATGATTGATTTTTGTCACTGACTTTTATGACCAGCTGAATCTTTAGCCCCTCTATCCCCCTAGGATTTTAGAGGTGGACCCTAGAGTCCCAACCTCTTATCATGCCTTGGTCTTTCTGGAGGCCAACCCTCATCCTGAAGTTCTCTAGGGACCCCCAACCACCATTCATCTCATTAGCATCCAGAAAACACCACTGCAGAGATTCCAAGGATTTTAGGAGCTGTATACTAGGAAATTGGATGAAGACCAAATATGTATTTCAAAATATCGCCATTGGGGCCAGGAGATGGTGTAGTGGTTATGTCGCTGGACTCCCACATGGCCAACCACAGTTCAGGTCCCAGACCTAGTGGATTGAAACTCATACCGGGCATATGTGTGTGCATACCCAAGATCCCAGGAGAATGGAGGAGAAAGGATTGCAACATGACCATCTCCCTGGGGAGTGATTTCTTGCTTTCCCTCTCACTGTCTCCATCTGTCTCTCTCTCTTTCTCTCTCTCTCTAGCAAGTACATGTGCCCTAAGGTAAAGTCTTCTTAAAAAAAAAAAAAAAAAAAAGAATCACCATTGTTTTAGGTCTAGAAGAATGTGAGCGTAAACTGGGAAATTACCGTATAATCTTTGGGTTTCATTAAGCCCCGCTAAGATGGTGAATTTAAGTGAGACCAGCTGTCATGGTTGTATGATTTTTTTCCCCAGGAATGTTTAAAAATTAGCCAAATAGCTTATTGATATGCTTGCTGCAATTTACTTAGGTAACCTCATTTTAATACATCTTGGTTTTGGAGAGGTTTTTGCTATAAAATGCGTACGTTCGCCAGAAAGACAGAGACTGAAAGCGAGAAATCACCCCCCAGGGGGGATGACCACGCCGCAGTCCCTTCTCCTCCATTCTCCTCTCGGGATCTTGGGCACGCACACACATGTGCCTGCCATGAGTTTACGCCACCGGGTCTAGGACTCTAACCGTGGTCGACTATGTGGGAGTCCAGCAACATAGCTATTACGCCAACTGCTGGGCCTGAGTATGTTCATCTTTGAAGCTTATGTTAGAAACTGTCAATATGCCTTCCAAAAAAATATGCCAGTTTATGTTCCCATTGATGCTAGTATTGGTTTTTCCATGCCCTTGCTGAAGCATACATATTATTAAACATACATATTGTTAACACAATTTTGTACCAGTTTGCTAGAACAAGGATGTAGTGCCTCCTATTCTAGTGCATTTATTTGGTGACCAGTGGCTGTGTGTATCTTTCCATACTAACGTTTTACATTTGTTCTGCATGTGAGTCGCTGTCATGTCCTTCTCCCATTTTGGTGGGAGACAGTTCTTATGATGTACGAATGATAGTAATCTCTTACCTGTCATACATGCTGCAGATTTTTTGTTTGCCTTTTTGTTTTGTTTGGAGATGTTTTAATGTATATAAATTAATTTTTGTTGTTAAATATTTTGATTTCTGCTTTTGCATGCTTGCAGACTTTTCTGATCTCAAGATCTTAAAACCTTCTTATAACCCTTACTGACACTTACCAAATTGGTTCACAAACATGTACAGTTTAAATTTAGTAGAAATTTAATTATTTGTTATTTCTTTCGCAGCAAAGATTTGTGGAGAAGATGGACAGGTGGATCCCAACTGTTTTGTTTTGGCACAGTCAGTAGTTTTCAGTGCAATGGAGCAAGAGTAAGTTAGTTTCATATTTTCACATTTCGCATTCTTGGGAACTTGGGTTCAGAGTTAGGAATGGACTTCACGCAACTAAAAACAAAGTATCTTTGAGAATTCAGGTATTTTGAATATTTACAAGATCATATAAGCACACTCTAAGGCTATGTTTTAAACATAAGTCATGTGAACTCAAAATATTTTTATTTTTAATGTTAATATTTTCTAAGTTTGCAGTTCTGAAGTCATCTGGGAGTGATAGAGGCTATGACATGGCTATTAGAATTGGTGTATTTATATAATACTGCATGTCTTCAGGTGGATATCCTAATTTGTTAGTTCATGCTTTAAACTTAATAGATGCCATATAACTAAATCCACAGTTTTGTTGACACTGCCTCCAGAGTTGTTTTAGATTACTTACTTCTGCATACCCTTAAGGATAAATTTATTCTTTCATTTGACATTTATGAAAAGGGTGCTCCGAGCAAGGCATAGTTAGATATAATACCTGCCTTAGGGGAGCTAGTCCCTAATAAAACAGGGCATGTGCTTTGGTTACTGTAATTCGAGGTAGCATGCCTTAAATATCAGAGGAGAGCTACAAGATCCTAAGAGCAGGAGAGTGCTCACAGGCAAAGGAGCGGCCATGATGCTGTGGGAATTGAGGCAGCATTGACCTAGGCATTTGAGACACAATAGGGACAAGACGGGAAGAGTTTCATTTCCCCAAGTAAGCGCTTTCCTTGGTCATTCCCTCAAATTTCCCTTTTGTCCATGTGCAGGCACTTTAGTGAGTTTCTGCGAAGTCACCATTTCTGTAAATACCAGATTGAAGTGCTGACCAGCGGAACTGTTTACCTGGCTGACATCCTCTTCTGTGAGTCAGCCCTCTTTTATTTCTCAGAGGTAAATCTGCATTTCCTTTCACACTCTGTTAGAGCAGTCCAGCCTCTAAACTAGGCATGCCGGGGCCCTGTCTGCAGCAAATAAGAGAAGAGAGAGAATTTCCAAAAAGATCTCTTATTATTTAAGTCGTAGCTAATGCCCAGAGTACTTTTATGGCCTACCAGTTAGGCAGATTAATGAGAACAAGAAAAGTCAATGTAAGATAACTCTTAATTTGAGAAACCTGATTAAACTGCTGTTTACAATGCATGTTTTTTAACTATTTGGAGCTATTTTAAACCACAGAATATGATGCATGATTCCACTGCACAACTGTCTGCAGACCAGACTTGAGAGGAGAGAGAGGAAGGTAGTACGGTTTTCCTGCTCTCCTCTTTTGCTTCAGCGCTAGATCGGTTGCCCCGTGAAGCACTGGCGACAATGAGTACAGTAATCTATCTGAGGCATAGTTCAGTATGATGGTATGCGTTAGGCTTCACCGTATCCAATTCTTTGGTCACAAAGCAAATGACTATTAAGGATAGACGGAGGATTCCTGACTTCCCGGAGCAGTAGTTGAGACATTCACATTCTGCTCTTCACGAGAATCCAGCCAAGCAGTTGACTGGCCTTTTCACTCCCGGCCTCTTCCTGGAACGATGGCAGTTGCTCAGATGTAGAAGACTCGGTTTCGTAGGCTCGCTCTGTGTATGTCTGCCAGAGAAGAACTGCTAATCCCGTCCCGTGGGAGTTTTACTCTAGCTCACTAAAGTTCGCATCAGCTGTGTGGTGGTAGATTTCTGTTGATTTTTTGTTTGTTTTTCCCCCTTAAGAGAATATCTTAAAACTTTTCGGTCTCAAATGACTATAAGTAGCTGGTGTTAACTGAAGAAGTGACTCTTTCTGCTATCTGATTATGTCCTGTATTTTAATACTCGAAGCTTCTTACAGAGATGGTGAGAGAAATGTGTGTACAGACTTATCTTCCCTTTTGTATTTTTCATTCCTAGTACATGGAAAAAGAGGACGCAGTGAATATCTTGCAGTTCTGGTTGGCAGCAGATAACTTCCAGTCCCAGCTCGCTGCCAAAAAGGGCCAATATGATGGACAGGAGGCACAGAACGATGCCATGATTTTATATGACAAGTGAGTTTGGTTGACAGGTGCATTCAGCATCCAGCAGATACTTACTGAGCATTCAATATGTACTATGGAAATAAAAATGAATCGACTCAGTCTCCCCCACTGTCAGGGAACTTGCAGAGGGCAGCATAAAAAGCTTTTTCTTGGGGCCAGCGGGTGGCATGGTAGTTAAGGTGCTGGAATCTTGGACTCGGCAGTTTTAGTCTCATGCCAGAAATATGTGCATGCGTGCCCAGGATCTCCAGGGAGAATGGAGGTAAAGGGATTGTGATGTGGCCATCCCCGCTGGGAGAGACTTCTCACTTTCCCTTTCTCTCTCTCTGGCAAGCTGGCAAGTGCATACAGTCTATGGCAAAGCCCTGGAAAAACTTTTTCTTGGGGCCAGCAGGTGGTGTGGTGGTTAAGGCACTGAACTCCCTCATGGCCTGTCGCAGTTGAGGCCCAGACCTGGCAGCTTGAAAATCATGCCAGGCACCTGTGCATGCACGCCCCCAAATCCTAAGAGTAGAATAAAGGAGAAGGGATTGCAACATGGCCGTTTCCCCCTCCCCGGGCAAGGGGTATTTCTTACTTTGCCTCTCTCTCTCTCCAGCAAGTGCACATGCGCTATGGCAAAAAAACTATTTAAAAAAAAAAAAAAAGCAAACGTTTTTCTTACATGTGTGTACAGCTTTGGGGGTTCTTAGAACAAAACTGCTATTCGGGGAGAGGAGTTTCACATATGGCAAGCAGGGTGACAGTGGTGGTATTCGGGGAGGGTTTCACAAAACTAAGATTGTGTTCGGATCTGAGGAATGGAAAACTAGCTAGAGCAGGCAGGAAAGAGCATTCTAGGAAAAGGCAGTGGCACAAGCGAAGTCACAGAAACTTGGAAGAGTGTGGCACTTTCAAGAAACTTGAGTTTTGGGCACCAACAGATGGTGTCATGGTTATGTCGCTGGGCTCCCATGTAGTCCACCACAGTTCAAGTTCCAGACCTGCTGGCTTAAAATTCATGCCAAGTATGCATGTGTGCCCAGAAACCCCAAATGGAGGGGAAGGGATTGAAGTGTGACCACCCCCTACAGGGGGTGATTTCTTTCTTTCTGTCTCTGTCTCTCTGGCAAGTGCCTGCGCCCTATAACAAAAATCTCTCTCTTAAAAAAAAATGAAGGCACTTGAGTTTGGGTAATTGGAGGGGTGGGAAATATAAAAGGAGGATGCAGCCAGATGGCGTAGATGGTAAAGGCCTTGACTATCTGTGTGTGTGTGTGTGTTGTTTTCACAAGTCTGCTCAGCCACATTCCTAAATGATATGAATAGTTGTTTTTCATTGGTTTTCACAAGAGGTTGGAAAAACCTCCAGTTACAGTGAAGTGAATTGAAAACACCTGGTCAGCTCTATACCACCAGGGCAGCCTCGTTCTCATCTGTAAAGAAAAGTAATTTGTTATCTGTAACCACAAGCAAGCGCTAAAGGGGCTAACTTAGAATAGCGAAAAATCCATGGGATGAGAGGGTTGGAAGTGAGCCAAGAGCATCTAGGCCAGTGGGTCCTGAACACGGCCTACAGCTCTCGCTGGGCTGTCTGCAGGACAGTCACCCGGCAGCTTGTTACAAACAGGATTCCAGTCCACTTCTCTAGGAGACTGACTCAGCAGGTGCAAGTGACCCAGGAGTCTTTATTTTTGGAGGAGAGTGAGATAATTCTGGCGAATAGCTGTGTTACGGATCTAATCTGATTGTCCCATTTTGCAGATAAACTAAGGCCCAAAGGGGTGGTGATTTTATCAAAGTCGCAGGGCAAGTTAATGGTAGGACTAGGATTGGAAGGCAGTTCTCTTTTTCTATTTTGTGCTGTAGGGCACGAGTGTGCACAAGGGGTGGGGTTTGGGGGGAAGAGAGCACCCCCAACAGGGCCTGGTCATGCTGCAGTCCTTTTGCTTCCAGTTTTCCATACATTCAGAATCTTTGGCATGTGCCTGCTGTGTTTTTCAAGCTGCCAAGTTCAGGACTCGAACCCTGGTCAGCCATGTGGGAGCTGGCTACCTCTGCGTGGGACTTATAAGAATCATTACATGGATAGTAAAATAGCAAGAGGTTACATTTAGAAATGGTCTAGGATGCTTGAAAATTCAAATCATGGAGGAGTATTTACCAACTTACCCATTATAACATGGGAGACTGACTTTTTGTTAGAAAAATACCAGTTAAAAAAGAAGTGAGGCCCAGCAGGTGATGTAAAGATTAAGGTGGCTGGGTCCCACTTGGCCAGTTCCAGGGTTTGAATCCCAGACCCGGCGGCTTGAAAAACACACTGGGCATGTGGGCATGTGTGCCCAAGATCCCAAGAGGATAAAGAAAGAAAAGAGATTGTGATGCAGCCATTTTCCCTTAGGGGGTGATTTCTCACTTTCCTTCCGTCTCTTTGTGTTTCTCTCTAATGAGCACACATGCCCTATGGCAAGCAAGCAAATTACAATTTAATTAAATTTGAAAAAAAAGTGTGCCAGCTCTGTAGCCTAGTAGTTAAGGGAGCCACGTCCCATGTGGCCACTGAGCAGTTTGAGTTTCAACCCTGGTAATTAATAAAACATGCCAGGTGCATGTGTGTGCATGCCCCAAATCCCAACAGGGTGGAGAGAGATGGAGGAGAAGGTGCGCTTTCTTCTCCCTCATTCTGCCTTTCTGTCTCTCTTTCTCTGCTGAGTACATGGGCCGTCTGACAATTGAAAAAGAGCCTTATGCTGTGAGAGAATTGTGGCACTTGTGAGGTCATGGCTGGCTCAGTAATCATGCAGAGCAGAGACCTTGTTTCCCACTACATGCCGTTTTCATATTGGGAACCTCGTTTTGTTTTTTTAGTTTTGTTTCTTCCATGAGAGAGGGAAACAGAGAGAGAGGGATGGAGGAAAAAAGGGAGAGGCAGACACCCCCAACATTGCGACCCTACCCTGACCTTCCGTCAGCTCAGAACATGGGTGTGTGTGTGCACCCTGGCTGTGCACAGGAACACCTCAAGATGTGAATCCATGACCCTCCTTTCCGCATCAGTGTCGCAGAGCATTGAGTTACTGCCGCACCACCATGGTTGACCCAGGAGCCTTTGGGTTTTTTTGTTTGTTTGGTTGGGGTTTTTTTTTTTTTCAGTAGAGCTAGTGCGCTCACTGGAGAGAGAGAGAAAGAGGTGAAGTGAGAAATCACCTCCCCAGGGAGATGATCATGCCGCAGTCCCTTCTTCTCCATTCTCTTAGGATTTTGTGCACGTGGATACATGTGCCTAGTGTGTTTTTCCTTTTTTTCTTAATAGAGATTTTTGCTGTACTCAGTATGGTCTACTGTGGTTTGAGTCCTAGACCTGGGAGCTTAAACTCACAACAGGCACATGTGCATGCGTACCCAAGAGCCTGAGAAGAGAATGGAGGAGAAGGGATTGTGGTGTGGCCATCCACTCTTGGGGGACGGGGGGAGGATGATTTCTCTTTTTCTGTCTCTCCGTCTCTCCAGTGAGTACATATGCCCTATAGCAAAAATCTCTCTCTAAAAAAAGAAAAATCTTTGAGTTATCATTAATTACTCCTTTTCCTTTCTACACGAAGTTATCTACAAGTCCTGTTAGTTCTGTAGTTCTGTTCAGATACGTTAAATCCATCCACATCCCCCTTAGTGCCTTACACCCAGAGTTAGGGTAGTGTGCTCTCATTGTATCCTGTATGGATATCTTTCCCCCCCCCCTTTTTTTTGAGAGAGAGAGAGATTTCCTCCATTATCCTCTCGGGATCTTGGGCACGCACACACACACATGTCTGGCATGAGTTTCAAGTCACCAGGTCTGGGACTCGAACCATGGTTGATTATGTGGGAGTCCAGTGACATAACCACTACGCCATCTGCTGGTCCCACTTCATTTTTAGGAGAAATGACCGTATCTGTCTACCTTGTAAATCAGTTTCTATCTTCCAGATCCTGAATAGAGAACAGGTGTTCATTAAATGTGTATGATTTGATATATGTCATACTTGTGATTTGTTTTCTTTGCCTAGTTGTACCGTGACCCTCACAGCTCTTAAAACAATGGCAGAGTTGGCTGGGCAAAACAAGGATGGTAGGAAAGCAGATAAGGGAGGTAGCAAGTTAGCTCAGATATCTTGGGGGAAGTGGAAATAAATCGAGGTTATAGCAAGGCTGGGAGCTCTGTGATTCGGGGTCTGCAGACTGAGCCAGGGAATCTCGAGGGGCTGCAGCTGCTTGTACTTGCTGTGGAATTTGGTTTCACTCTGGCTGTCCTTCTACCACAGGTACTTTTCTCTCCAAGCCACACATCCTCTTGGATTTGACGATGTTGTACGATTAGAAATTGAGTCCAATATCTGCAGGGAAGGTGGGCCCCTCCCTAACTGTTTCACAACTCCCTTACGTCAGGCCTGGACAACCATGGAGAAGGTAACCAAGAACTTCAAAACTATTAAACTACAAGAGGTTTAGCTGTCGGGAGCCAGAAAATAATGGGTCGCGAGGGACATCATGAGGCACGAGCAGATCGTGTAATGGTTACGTCGCTGCACTCCCACATAGTCAACCACAGTTCAGGTCACACGTGGCAGCTTAAGCCTCATACCGGCGCATGTGCATGCGTGCCCAGGATCCTGAGAGGAGAACGGAGGAGAAGGGATTGCAGCATGGCATTCGGGGTGATTTATTGCTTTCTGTCTCTCTGGCGAGCACACACACTCTATGTCAAAAATCTCTCTCCAAAAAAAAAAAAAAGGAACATCCCGATGACCTAGTAGATATGGGAGAAAGCAAACATCACAGAACCGTGGGAAATTGAAGCAGTGCAGCGTAGTGAGTGAGAGCAGAGGCTCTGAGTCTGGCGTGGAAGGTATTAGTCGGAACCCCACCTAGGCTGAGTGACCTCAAGCAGCTACGAAACTGGTGATACTTTCTGCATCTGTAAAGTGGGGATACTGTGTGGATACTTACAGTGGACAGCTGGTCCTGTCCTTAGGGTGGTTATGGAGCATCTGCACCTGAAGTGCTTATTAACATACACCTGGCACATAGTAAGTGGTGCTGAAGGCTACCTGCTGTACGTTACCATTACATTTTTAAATGATGAGGTCGCAGTATGGGCAGTCCTAAGCTAACTTAGGACTGATCCAGTATTTCACCAGCATCCATCAACGACATTTGGAGCACTCGTTTTGTATATCACGATCACTTTCAAGGCATCTCTGATAACTTACTAAATAACTCTAGTAAAGTGGCGAAATCTGTGGATGATGTATTCTTCTAGTGAACTAGAGCAGGTTTCCCTCCCAGGCCGTCCTGCAAGCTGGAGACTGGAGGAAGGGATTGTGGCGTGACCGGTGACCAGGCTCTGTGAGGGTGGCTGCCCTCCTCCCTCGTCTATTCTGTCTCTTTATCATGAACAAAGAAAAAATGGGAAGGAAGGCACATATTAAATATGGACATAAACATTTTTAATTGTAATGATGGATGCCGTGGAAGAAAGTTGATCATAGGAAGTGCTGACAGTAAACATGGCTTACTTAGCATCATTGAAGTCATTCAGTGCAAATAAAAACGTCTGTATTCCATTAAATTTATTTACCAGTGATTCGAAAAACCATAACCCAGTGTTGGAAAACCTATGTGGAAACATACCTTGATTTATTGCTGCTAATGTAAATTAGTAACCTCCTTTGAAGTGTAAATTGGCTATATATATATGTGTGTGTGTGTGTGTGTGTGTATCAAAGTTAAAATTTAACTTAGCAGTCACACTACTGATAATTTATTGTAAGGAAATAAGTTCAGGAAACATATGCACAAAGACTTTTTTTAAAGAGAGATTTTTGCTATAGGGCACGTGTGCTCACCGGAGAGACAGAGAGACAGAAAGCAAGAAATCACCCCCCAGGGGGGATGGCCACGCCACAATCCCTTCTCCTCCGTTCTCCTCTCAGGATCTTGGGCACGCACGCACACGCCCGGCATGAGTTTAAGCCACTGGGTCCAGGACGCGAACTGTGATTGACTATGAAGGAGTCCAGTGACATACCATTACACCATCTCCTGGCCCCATATGTACAAAGACTTTAATATTTATTATTAACTAGAAAAATTTTATTTGTAGAGTATATCCACTGTATGGACTAATTTCTCACTGAGACATATTAATATCAAGTCTATGTGATACTTTTTAAGTATGTGGAAGAAAACAAAGTCTTGTATGTTGAAATTAATTTTTTAAAATTTATTATTATAATTTTAAAAATTTTACCAGAAAATGGGACCAACAAGTGGCGTAATGGCTATGTCGCTGGACTCCCATGTAGTTGACTTCAGTTCGAGTCCCAAACCTGGTGGCTTAAACTCACACTGGGTGTGTATGCACACATGCATTCCCAAGATCCCAAGAGGAACAAGGAGAAGGGATTGTGGCATAGCCATCCCCCCTGGGGGGTGATTTCTCGCTTTCTCTCTGTCTCTTTCGGTCTTTCTGGAAAGCGCACATGCCCTATAGCAAAAACCTCTCCGGAAAAAAAAAAAGGAAAAAAAATTTTGACCAGAAAGAGTGATAATGAGAAAACAAGCTGCCAGGTCTGGGTCTCCAACCATGTTCAGCCATGTGGGAATCCAGCATCCCAGCCACTGTGCCACCCACTGGCCCCTACACATTGTAATTTTAATTACAGTGTAAACTGTACAAAAGAATAATACTTAAAGTATAACAAGGAGGAGTAAAAACATTTGTGTATTATAGGTAAAATTTATTTATTTAAAATAATGCTTTTCAGGGCTGGCAGGTGGTATGGTGGTTGAGGCGCTGGACTTCCACCTGGCTGACTGTGGTTCAAGTCCCAGACCTGGCGGCTTTCTCTCACTGGTCAAATTGAAGAAAGAATAATAATAAATAAAATTAAATGAATAATTATTTTAAAAATAAATAAGATAATACTTTTCCTCTCTTTCAGGTCTTTTTGCCTGGCTTTTTGTCCAGCAATCTTTATTATAAGTATTTAAATGATCTCATCCATTCAGTCCGAGGAGATGAGTTTCTGGGAGGGAATGTTTCCCTGCCTGCTCCGGGCTCCATTGGACCTCCTGAAGAGGGCCTCCCTCGCGGTGCTGACAGCTCCACTTCTCAGGTATGGATGATTTGCATGTAGCATTAGGGAGAAGACATGCAGCCTCTTTCCTTGGTATACCAGTAATAGATTGTGTTTTTAACTTTTAAATTGTAGAAACAAAAGATACATAAAATTAGCCTACTTATACATTCTACAGTATTGTATATTCTGAGCATTCATGGTGTTAACAGTATTCTACGTTGTACACTACTGTGCTGTTTCACTTGGACCGTTCTGCTTGACATTGGCTGTTTCTCTTTTTTTTTTTTTTTTTAGCTTTTTTTTGGAGAGGTTTTTGCTGTAGGGTGCATGTGCTCGCCAGAAAGACAGAGAGAGACAGAAAACGAGAGACATAGAGACAGAAAGCGAGAAATCGGGACCAATAGTTGGCGTAATGGCTTTGTCGCTGGACTCCCATGTAGTCGACCGTGGTTCAAGTCCTAGACCCAGTGGCTTAATCTCATGCTGGGTATGTGTGCATGCATTCCCAAGATCCCCAGAGTAGAATGGAGGAGGAGGAATTGCGGTGTGGCCATCCCCCCGGGTGGTGATTCTTTGCTTTTTGTCTCTCTGTCTGTCTGGCAAGCACATGCGCCCTATAGCAAAAACCTCTCCAAAAAAAAAGAAATATCCCTAAATGTTCTTCTAAATGGTGTTTTTGTTTTTGTTTTGTTTTTAGTTTATTTCTTTCCTTTTTTGGGGGGGGAGGCACATCCCCAACAGGGTCTTCATGCCATGATCTACCCCTAGCCTTAGTCAGCCCAGGTCCCTGGCATATGTGCTTGTACCCAGTGTGTACATGGAGACTTGGGTTTCAAACCCGAGACCTTCCTATGTGGCCTCAGCCTCATGGAACATTGTGTTTTTCCTTCTTCACTCTCGCTGGCTCTCCTAAGTGGTTTATAATTTGATTTTGTACATTTAATTTTATGATTTATTTTGAATTAGTTTTTAATGTATAAGGTAGATGTCCAACTTCATTATTTTACATACAGATATTTAGTTTTTTGTCCTTTGGATGCTCTTGTTAGATACGCAAATAACTGTTTTGTTTTTTTTTTTTAATATATAGGTTTTTGCCTTAGGGTGCTTTGCAGTTGCTGTAGGGAGAGAGAGAGTGGGAAAGGGGTAAATCAGGAATAACCACACCACAGTCCCTTCTCCTCCACTCTCCTTCTGGGATCTTGGGCATGCATGCATGCACACACACCTGCCCAGCATGAGTTTCAAGCCACTGGGTCCAGGACTAGATGTGCAGTCAGTCAGGTGGGAGTCTGGTGACGCTATGAGCTTTAGGATCAGCTTTTTCATTTTTTTTTTTTTTCTAATAAAATAAGCATTTATTCATGAAAGTCTAATGAACATGTGTGCCAAAGTAAAAGTGACCACTAATGTTAAATTAAAAAACTCCAAAGAATGTACTACATGATTTGATTTTTTAAAACTTTATATAAAAGCTATATTATAAATACAAATCTAAACTACTGGAGTAGTTAACAACATTGTTCACACAAAGAAACTTAACAGTAAAATACAAATAATAAGATGCTTATATTTGGTCCTTCTGGGGAAAAAAAACTAAGTTGGTTTCTTTTTTTGCAGTTGCTCCAGTCATAAAAATAAGATTTAAGATGGAAACTTCATTTTAATTAGGATCGTATTGAATTTTTTTACAGTTGTTTATATCTGTTTAATTATTTTTCAGCAACATTTTATAGTTTTCATTGTATAATTTTTTTTTTTTTTTAGAGGTTTTAGCTATAGGGTGCGTGCGCTCACCAGACAGAGAGAGAGAGACATAGAGACAGAAAGCGAGAAATCACCCCCCAGGGGGGATGGTCACTCCACGATCCCTTCTCCTCCATTCTCCTCTCGGGATCTTGGGCATGCATGCACATGCGCCTGGCGTGAGTTTTAAGCCACCGGGGCCGGTATGCAAACCACGGTCAACTACATGGGAGTCCAGCGACATAGCCATTACGCTAACTGCTGGTTCCTTCAATGTATAATTCTTAAACCTCTTAATTTCATTTTCATATTGTTCATTGATAATATGTAGAAATACAATGGATTTTTGTGTGTTGATCCTGTGCCTTCAGCTTTGCTAAATTCATTTGTTAGCTCTACTTATTTTCTTGTGGGGTCTTAAGAATTTTCTTTATGTAGGATCATGTCAGCTTTTTTCCTGTCTACTCTGGATGCCCTTTATTCCCTTTTCTTGCCTAATTGCTATGGCTGGAATTTCTGGTGCAATGTTGAATATTCAAAAGCAGTCATCTTTGTCCTTCCCTATTCTCACAGGGAAAACTTTCAGTTTTCCCCTATTTAATGGGATATTAAGTGTGAGGTGTTTTTTTAATACACGTCATTTATCAGGTTGAGGAAGTTCCTATTATTCTTTTCTTTTTTTTTTTTTAAGAGGTTTTTGCCATAGGGCATGTGCGCTCACCAGACAGAGAGAGACAGAGAGACAGAAAGCGAGAAATCACCCCCCAGGGGGTTGGCCATACCGCAATACCTTCTCCTCCATTCTCTCGGGATCTTGGGCACGCACGCACACACACCCGGCATGAGTTTCAAGCCACTGGGTCCGAGACACGAACTGTGGTCGACTACGTGGGAGTCCAGCAACATAGCCATTACGCTAACTGCTGGTTCCTTTTTATTCTTAATGTAATTTTTTTTTTTAATCACAAAAAGGTGTTGGATTTTGTCAGATGGTCTTTCTGTATCACTTAATGTGGTCATGTAGGTTTTGGGGTTTCAGCCTGTTGACATAAGGTTATTGTATTAATTGATTTTCAGATGTTAAACCAGCCTTGAATCCCTGGGATAAACCGTATATGGTCATGCTGTGTAATCCTTTCAGTATGCTGCTGGATTCCCTTCACTAGGATTTTGTTAGCATTTTGTATCTATACTCACAGGATAATAAGAGATATTGGTCTGTAGTTTTCTTTTGCTGTCTGGTTTTGGTATATGAATAATAGTGGCCTTAATCAAATTAGTTTGGAAGTATTCCCTCTTCTTTATTCTCGTGCCTCTATCATTTTTACCTACCTATGTGTCTTGGAGATTTGTCCTTAGCGGATAAAGTGTTCCCTAAATGTCTGTTGAGTTATTTTATTTATTTAGCCCACCTCTTAGACATGGACATTAAGCTTGCTCCTGTCTTTGCTGTCCTAAACAATGCTGCAGTGAATAATGTTGTACATAAATTATTTTGCAGAAGCTTGACTCTCTATAAATGTATTTTTAGAAATAGAATTTCTGGGTCGACCCGTGGCTCTGTGTTTCATAAAAATACCAATTCTGACTTGCTTTTTTTGTGGGAGTGAAGAGTAGGAGGTAGAATGCTGGAGGGGAACTTACTGTACTCAGCTAGCTAGTCATTTTAAAAGGTTTCTTTAGCTTCTTTTTTGTCACATTGCCTCACTGAGAATCAAAAACATTCTGTTTACCTTATGAAAGCTGGGTTTTCTGATTAGTGTACATATGCCTGGATACATGAGAGTGTGCACAGATGGAGAAATAATACCTTGAGGACAGCTCATTGGCTGGACCTCAGGTCATTAAGAAACCATCAGATTAGACACACATATATATTACACCTTTTAATATTGTGCTCTCCCGTAGTTACAGTTTGAAGTTGTATTTCAGAATCGTTGTCATAAGCATTTCAGTAGTGATGGGGTTATATGTCAGACACTAAAGAAAACTTTTAAACAGATCGTCATATTCCAAACCCAGAACGACTCTGTTTTTTGAACAATATACTACTAATTTTATGATTTCTGTTTTAGTCCGGTGTGAAAAAAGCCAGTATTAAAATTCTGAAAAATTTTGATGAAGCGATAATTGTTGATGCTGCAAGTCTGGATCCAGAATCTTTATATCAACGGACATATGCAGGGTAAGCATAGCTAACTTCTAAAATTTTTACAAATGTAAAGAATATTGCATTTAAAACATTTTAAAATTAAATTTAAATGTTTTTCTAATCTATTTTATGCCTAGCACTTTGACATATAGGGTGCAGTATACTGTGATGGTGAGGAGTATAGGCCTGCAGTGCTTTCTCGGGTTTTAATCTAGGCTCTGCTTCTTTTTTTTTTCTTTTTTTTCTTGAGAGGTTTTTGCTATAGGGCGTGTGTGCGCTCGCCAGACAGAGAGAGACATAAAGCGAGAAATCACCCCCCAGGGAGATGGTCACGCCGCAATCCCTTCTCCTCCATTCTCCTCTCAGGATCTTGGACACGCACACACACGCGCCCAGCGTGAGATTTAAGCCACCGGGTCCGGGACGCGAACCACGTCAACCACGTGGGAGTCCAGCGACATAGCCACTATGCTAACTGCTGGTTCCCTAGGCTCTGCTTCTTACTGACAAGCTGCTTAACCTCTTTGTGTCTCAGTTTTGGGGTTTGTTTGGTGGGTTTTCTTTTCATTTTTTTTTTCTTTTTTTTTTTCTTGTTTTTTGTTTTTGTTTTTGTTTTTTTATGGGAGGTTTTTGCTATAAGGTGCGTGCGCTTGCCAGAACGAGAGAGACACAGAAAGTGAGAAATCATCCCCTAGAGAGGTTGGCCATGCCACAATCCCTTCTCCTCCATTCTTCTCTCGGGATCTTGGGCACGCATGTACACGTGCCTGGCGTGAGTTTAAGCCACCAGGTCCGGGACTCAAACCGTGGTTGACTATGAGGAAGTCCAGCAATGTAACCATTTAGCCATCTGCTGGTCCCGGGGTTTGTTTGTTTTTAATGTCAGAGGGCATATCTATGTGCATAAGAGAAGAGCACCTACCAACAGGGCCTGGTCATGTCACAATCTTTTTTTGTTCCATTTCTCCATCCCATCAGGATCCATACATGTGCCTGAGTTTTCCAGCCACCAGGGTTGGGACTCAAACCATGGTTGGCCATGTTGAATCCAGCTCCCTCCACACAGTACTCAACAGCTATGCTACACGGCCAGCCCTTGTGTGTCAGTTTTTTCATCTATAAAATGAGAACAATATTACAAGATCCTTGAGTTGTTTAGGTAACTGAATGTTATAATACATGAAAACCATTTAAAACACTGCCAAGTATCTTGGAAGCACTCTGTAGATATTACCACTATTATTCCACCACTATCTACAAGATTAATGAGAATTTTTTTGGAGAGGTTTTTGCTATAGGGTGCATGTGCTCGCCAGAAAAACAGAGAGAAACAGAGAGACAAAGCGAGAAATCACCCCTGGGGTATGGCCATGCCGCAATCCCTTCTCCATTCTTCTCTCGGGATCTTGGGGACATACACACACATGCCCAGCGTGAGTTTTAGCCACCGGGTCAGGGACTCAAATCGCGGTCAACTACATGGGAGTCCAGCGACATAGCCATTATGCCAACTGCTGGTCCCGGTCCCCAAACATTTCTAATTTACATGTTTCACTTATATTGGTTTTAATCAGAATGCAACTTCATCATCAGAGAGCATCTATCTACGTAGATTTGTAAAGTACTGCTTTTATATGCTTCCTAATCCCAAGAGGCAGATTTTATTACCAATTTACCTTATCTGTTTCTGTATCCTTTTACAGTCTCGTTATCCATTGATAAAGATTCTTGTTTTCTTCACATGCTTTATTTTTTAATTTTGAATTTTTCAGTTGTCAGAGGGTGTGTGCACTTGTCAGAGGGAGAGTAAGAAAGGGGAAAGCGCCCTTAGCATGATGTGGTCACGCTGAAATCCCTTCCCATCCATTTCACCATCCTTTGGGATTTGGGATACAGATTCACATGCATTCAGTGTATTTTTTAAGCTGTTAGGTCTGGGATTCAAACCATGATCAGTCTGGTGGGATCTGGCACCCTTTAACACTAGGCCATAGGATCGCACCCACCTCCCAACATTCTAACAATACAAAATAATATCAGACTTTACTGTTTTTCCGATCTGGGATTATTGTCAATGAGACTGAGCTTCTTCTGGCATGTTATTGGTTGTATGGGGGTTTTTGTCTCCTGTGAATTGACTCTTCATTTCCTTTCCCCATGTTTTAGTTGGGCAGTATATTAAGTGACTGGTCAGAATCCTGTATGTTTCTAGATATTAATCACTGGTTAGTAATAGGTTAAAAGTAAGATCTCTCGGGACCAGCAGTTGGCGTAATGGCTATGTTGCTGAACTCCCATGTAGTCGACTGCAATTCGAGTCCCAGACCCGGTAGTTTAAGCTCACGCCGGGCGTGTGTGCATGTGTGCCCAAGATCCCGTGAGGAGAATGGAGGAGAAGGGATTGCAGCGTGGCCATCAACCCTGGGAGGTGATTTCTTGCTTTATGTCTCTCTGTCTCTCTCTGTCTTTCGGGCGAGCGCATGTACCCTATAGCAAAAACTTATCCAAAAAAGTAAGATCTCTCAGGACCAGCTTATTGGTTAAGTTGATGGACTCCCATGTAGTTAACCATGGTTCGAGTCCTAGACCTGGCAGCTTAAAATTCACACTGGGTGCCTGTGTGTGCTTGCCCGAAATTCCAAGAGGAGAATAGAGGAGAGGCAATTACGACATGGCCATCCCTCTGGGTGTGATTTCTCGCTTTCTTTCTCTCCGTCTCTGTCTCTCCATCTCTGTCTCTCCAGCGAGTGCACATGCCTGATAGCAAAAATTTCTCTAAAAATAAAAGTAAATGTCTCATGGCATTTTTTGACTTTTAACTTTGCTTTATATTACTATAGCTATTCAAGGGAACTTAAAAAGTTCATGGAAAATAGAATTAAAGTATGAGTTTATTTTAAGGCAAAAAAAGTTGAAATCCATGCATACTTTTATTTCATTTGTCTAGAGAAGGAGAGGGAGCAAGAGAGCGTAAGCCACCAGGTCCGAGACTTGAACTGTGGTCAGTCATGTGGCAGTCTGGCACCTTAAATACCATGCCACCGGCCTGCCATGCATACGTTTTTCAAATACCTATTTTCTCCATAAACTTTTTAAGACTCTCATATATGCTTACTATAGCTTTATAATGTATTTTGGTGATCATTTGAGTAAGTCTTATCTTTTTGCTTCATCTTTTACAAAATTGTCACAGCTATTCTTTTAGAACTGTGAATTGCCTTTTTTAAAAAAAGAAGTATTTATTTATTTAATTCCATTTGTTGTTGTTATTATTTTAATTTGACCAGACAGAGACAGAAAGAGAGTGAAAGGGAAAGGAGGGAGAAAGCAAGCCACCAGGTCTGTGACTCGAACCGCAGTCAGCCATGTGGGAACCCAGCTCCTTTAACCACCATGCCACCTGCTGGCCCCAGGAACTGTGAATTACCTATTAATTTGTCATGTGTCATAATCTTTTTGGGGATTTGAGTTGCTTTGATTATTTTGCTTTCTGTGGAGGAAGATTCTATTTCACATCCCACCTTGAATAAGATAACTATAAATTGTGTTTTCAGCTTTTCTCTTATCTTAGTTTTATTTTTAAAATAATTATGTGTTTTATTTTATTTGTTGTTATTATTACTATTATTAATTTGACCAGAAGGAGAGAGAATGGGAAAGTGAGAAAGCAAGCTGCCAGATCTGGGATTCAAACTGTGGTCAGCCATGTGGGAGTCCAACTCTTTAATCACTGCGCCACCTGCCTGTCTCTCATCTTAGTTTTGAGTGAGATGCTTAAAAATTGATATTTTCTTCTAAATTTAAAACTCATTAAAAATTTTATGTATTTTCACCTCCATTTAGGAAGATGACATTTGGAAGAGTCAGTGACTTAGGACAGTTCATCCGAGAATCTGAGCCGGAACCTGATGTAAAGAAATCCAAAGGTTTGTGGTGTCTTGAAACTCCATGTTAAGCCTTCACCCGCATGAGTCACTGACTGTAAGCAAAGATCACTTGCGGTTTAAACTGCTACTTTTGTGAAGTAACCACCCCGTCTTTCCCGATGTGTTTATTGTCACAAGCGAACACAGTCAGGGCTTTTTGTGTTCACATCTTATTTAACTTTGTGTGTTCATTTAAATTTGACGAGGAGGGGGAGGGAGAGAAAGCGCACACACAAGCTGTCAGGTCCCGGACTCCAACTCGGTCGGCCATGTGAGAGTCCAGCATCCTTAACTAGCATGCCACCTGCCGGCCCCTATGTAGTCAATCTTGAGACATTTGTTTCCTTTGAATAAAAAGTTAATGAATCTCAGGACCAACAGGTGGCGTGGGGGTTAAGGTGTTGGACACTCCGACTATTCGAGTCCTGGACCTGGTGGCTTGCTTTCTCACTTCCCCTCTCTCTCTCTCTGTCTCTCTCTTTGGTCAAATTAAGGTAAATGAATGAATAAAGCAAATTAAATAAAATCTTTAAAAAAATTAATGAATCTCCTTTGACACTACAAAATGTATATCAGTGTGAAAAAAGTATTTGTTATGTTTTTATTTAATGGCAAAACACCCAGTCAACATTAGACTTGAGGTTTAAGGGATTTTTGCCATAGAGCGCTTGTACTCGCCAAAGAGACAGAGATAGAGACAATGAAAGGAAAAGTGAGAAATAACTCCCTGAGCAAGGATGGCCACGCCACAGTTCTTCTCCTCCGTTCTCCTAGGATCTTGGGCACACATACACGCCTCCAGTGTGATTTTCAAGCCGCCCTGTTCGGCACTCATGGTCGGCCGTGTGGGAGTCCAGCAGCACAACCACTGCGCCACCTGCTGGCCACATCTTGAGACCTTCTACTTTATTAAATTGTTCAGAATCACCGGATGTTATTACAAAATGTATGTGGAAAACATTGATAGGCTGAAATTAAAATTACTACCTTGTTTAGTCAGCAGAAAAGTGACTCGGCTAAGTCTAAGAATTAGGCACATCTCTCTCTTAACGAGTACTTGCTTTGTAACTTGTTTCAGCTTCCAAACAACTGGTTTACACAGGAAGATTTTGGAGAGTGCAAATCTGTTCAGATGATGTTTAGGGCTTTTTTTTTTTTTTTTTTTTTTTTGGAATGTTTTTTTTTTTTTTTGAGAAGTTTTTGCTACAGGGCGTGTGCATTTGCCAGACAGACAGAGAGAGAGACATAGAGACAGAAAGTGAGAAATCACCCCCCCAGGGAGGATGGTCACGCCGCAATCCCTTCTCCTCCATTCTCCTCTCGGTCGGGATCTTGGGCACGCACACACACGCACCCGGCGTGAGTTTTAAGCCACTGGGTCTGGGATGCGAACCGTGGTCAACTACGTGGGAGTCCAGCAATAAGCCATTACGCTAACTGCTGGTTCCCAATCTAGGGCTTTTTGATGTGGTTGGATTGCCAGCATTGTCTTAAGCAGAAGGTACTAAATTTTGTAAGAAAACTGTGATGCATTTTGATAAATGTGTTTAACTTCCTATTGAATTTAATAGGACATTCTCTTAGGATTTTGAGCACACATACGCTTTTCAAGCCACTGGGTCCGGGACTCAAACCGCAGCCGTCCATGTGGGAATCCAGTGCCTTAACCACTGCACCACCTGCTGGCTCTCTTATTTTTCAAAGCAACTTTTGTTTGGATATGGAATCGCCTACTTATTTTGATAAATTACCTACTTTTGGTCAGATATACGTTGACATTGGCAGTGGCACAGCAGTAATGCAACTGGACCTAGTGGGGAAGCTCTTGAGTTTGAGTCCTGGGCCCTCTCTGAGCAGCCAGGCATGCATATGCCATGTTCAGGGCTGAGACTGAGAGGGAACTGTGGTGTGAGGACTCTGTTGGAGTACCACCCTCTTCTTTCTTAAGAAACAAAGAAATGAATAAACTTGGGGAGGGGTCAGATTTATGAGATTTCCAAGGTTGACTTCCAGAGACCGCATTCTAGGGTAGAACTAGCTGGCACGTCACATGTAAATAAGAAAGGAGGGAGGTACACTGAGTTTCTTAAAATGGGTTTCCTGGAAGAAAAATCGTGGTGTTAACTGAGATAGAAGACACTGGAAAAGATTAAATGGGAAACAGATGAGCTGTTTGGAACATCCTAAGTTTGATATGCCTTTAGAAGATTTGGAAGAATAGATTTGACACCCAAAGAGGAATCTCTGAGTTATTGCACTTTGTAGGAAGTTAAAGCTATAGAACAACATGAGATGCCTTCAAGATAATGTGTGTTTTTTTTTTTTCTTTTTTCTTTTTTTTTTTTTTTTTTTTTTGAGAGATTTTCACTGTAGGGCGCGTGCGCTCGCCAGACAGACAGAGAGAGACATAGAGACAGAAAGTGAGAAATCACCCCCCAGGGGGGATGGTCACGCCGCAATCCCTTCTCCTCCATTCTCCTCTCGGGATCTTGGGCACGCACACACACGCGCCCGGCGTGAGTTTTAAGCCACCGGGTCCGAGACGCGAACCGCAGTCGACTACGTGGGAGTCCAGCGACATAGCCATTACGCTAACTGCTGGTTCCCAAGATAATGTGTTTTAGAAGGCAAAAAGGCCAGCAGTGGGATCCTGGCAAAGCTCTGTGTTGAGGGAGGAAGGACTGCACAGGAGTCCTAGCCGTGGGCATTGGAGGGAAAGGAGAGAGTGCCGGCAAGCACAGTCGTCTGTGTGGTTGCTCGGGCGAGCGCCAGTTGAGACTTTAGGCGTTGGCCATTGTGGCCCCACTGGCTCTGCTTGGCAGTAAAACTTGACTAGACCAGGATTCACAGCCATGGTCGATCATAAAAATTACTGAGGCATAAAGACCCAGGTTTTCTATTTTTCATGAGTGATATATATAGTCCTGTCCCAGCTGCTGAATTAATCAGGACTTTCCCATAAGAAATTATCTAGTGGGGCCAGCAGGTAGTGTGGTGGTTAAGGTGCTGGATCCCACTTCGGCAACTGCCTGGCTCAAGTCCTGGACCCAGTGGAGCAGGAACACAGGGGGCACAGGGGTGATTGGGCCACACTTGCAGCGAGACAGGGGTTTTTGTCCCACAGTCAGGAAGAATTAGAGTCGTGGACCCAGGGAATTTAATCAAAGAGAGGGAGGGAAAAGAGAGCTCCCAAGAAGGGAGGGGACCTGGAAAATGGGTTGCCAAGGAAAAACTGTGATGAGGGGTTTTATCTGGGTCAAGAAGGGATTTTTTTTCCAGACTTGTTTTCGATGGGGCTTGTGCATGCATTTCCATCCTGGTGGGGAGGAGGGCATGCTGGATGAGCCCAATTATTTTCTAATTTTGGAGTGAGCCAAGGTCAGGAGAATTTTTGTCTAGAAGCTTTGGGCCATGAAAACCAATATTTCCTTCCTGGAGTGTGGTGGGGCATGGACAGAGCCTTTGTTTTAGGTTTTGGTCAAGCTGCCCAGGTCAGTCACTGAGCTACCACTGCCTCCATCTCAAAACTTAGCCGTTTTGTGATTTCTTTTTGGGCCCATATGCTACTATATATTTAGGGTCCCTGTCTCCTACCTCATTCCTCTTGGGCCCACACTTGCAGTGAGATACCAGTGGCTTAAAAAATATTCTGAAACATGTGTGAACATGCCCAAAATCCCTAGAGGAGAGCAGAGAAGGGAGGGGGTGTGGCCATCCCCTCTGGGAAATGATCTCTCACTTTTCCCCTGTGTGTCTCTCTGGCCAGTACACATTCCCTATGGCAAAAAATCTTTAAAAGAAAAAAAGAAATGAAATGATCAACAATCAGTTACTTGGTTAAAGCAAAGTTAGGAAGTAAGCTTATTCAAATTATTAAATAAAAGGATAAGCTGTGGAGCTAGCAGGTGGCATTGTGGTTAAGGGCGCTGAACTCCCACATGGCCAACCACAGTTCAAGTCCTGGACCTGGAGACTCACTTTCTCACTTTCCCTCTCTCTCACTCTGTCCCTCTCAGTCAAATGAAATAAAGTTAAATAAAACCATTCTTTTTTAAAAAGAGAGAAGCTGTACATTTCATTCATGGGAAGATAGGGCAGCCTACTTCCTTGGTAATTCCTTAGCATCTGAGTGCAGATGTAGCCCAGATGCAGGCTTGCTGACCTAGGAGGCTGAGGCGTACGGTATGGCTATTTAAACAGCTCTTGCCAGCTGATTCGTACAGACTGAGAGCCAGCATAATCTGTACTACTGGTAGAAGCCCTTGCATACAGAAGCTGATTGAGAAGGTTTGAAAAGAGAACCAGCAGTTAGCGTAATGGCTATGTCGCTGGACTCCCACGTAGTCGACCGCGGTTCGTGTCCTGGACCCGGTGGCTTAAAACTCACGCCGGGCGCCTGTGCGTGCCTGCCCAAGATCCCGAGAGGAGAATGGAGGAGAAGGGACTGCAGCGTGGCCATCCCCCCGGGGAGTGATTTCTCGCTTTCTGTCTCTATGTCTCTGTCTGTCTGGCGAGCGCATGCGCCCTATAGCGAAAAATCTCTCAAAAAAAGAAAAAAAAAAAGGTTTGAAAACATAACGTGTTGATCATGTCTTTAATGTATTGCCAGATTCTTACCCAAGGCTAATGTCCTGGTTAGGGTTTGGAGTTTGGTTTGGGATTTTTAAAGTTTTTTTCCTATAGGATGGATGCTTTCATTAGAGAGAGACAGAGAAAGGGAAAGTTAGAAATCACCCCCCACGGGAATGGCCATGTCGCAGTCCCTTCTCTTCCATTCTCCTCTTGGGATTTTGGGCACACATGCACACTCACCCAGTGTGTTTTTTAAGCTGCATGGTCCAGGATTCTAACCGAGCGGTTAGCCATGTGGGATCCAGCCACCTTCACCACCACGCCACCTGGCTGGCCCTTGTTTTTTGTTTGTTGGTTTGGTTTTTTTTTTTTTTTTTTTTTTTTTTTTTTTTTTGAGAAGCTTTTGCTTTCGTGTATGCTCTCCAGAAAGACAGCAAGACAGAGAGACAGAAAGTGAGAAATCACCCCCCAGGGAGATGGCCACGCTGCAGTCCCTTCTCCATTCTCCTCTTGGGATCTTCAGCACACACGCACACACACCCGGCGTGAGTTTAAGCCACTGGGTCCAGGACTCGAATGGCAGTCAACTACATGGGAATCCAGCGACATAGCCATTACACCAATTGCTGGTTCCAAGCCCTTGTTTTGTTTTTAATGTTGTTGCTGAGCTGAAATCAGGTTCGCTTGCCCAAGTGTTATAAAAGCTGTCAACGGAAAAAAATAACCAACTGTAAAATTAGTAATTAATGCGGTTTATTTCCAAGCCAACTGTGAGTGCCCTAGGCCCAGAGGAGAGGCATACATGCCTTTTCTGGGGGTGATCATGTACAGAGGTTCCTTTTATTTGCTTGAGATTGACAGACAACATTTAGTGAAAAGATTTTCCATTGGTCTGGCCCAAAAAGGCGGGACATGTAGAAGTGGGGGAGCTTGTAGGTTATAGGTGGGTTCCACAGTTCTTAGGTTGGTGATTGGAAGGGAAGATCTGTGTCTTAGTTAAAGAAAGGCTTAATCTACATCTCAAGGAAAAGGGAAGTTCTGTGTCTTGGGAAGAGATAAGCACAAGAATATACTGTAATCGGTTGAAATATACATCTCAAAGATACTATGCCAGGGACAGGAGGTAGGAAGAATCCTGTTAATAGAAAATAAATGGTCTGTTAGTGTTTATGGACATGACTTCCCCAGTCCCCTTTTGAAAAGATTTTGGAAAAATAGGAAAAGTAGTCAGACTTCTGTCCACAAAGCCAACCATAGGCACATGGTGTGAGCACAAAGCAGTAAGAGTGGGCAACTCAAGCTGGAGAGACCCCCGTCTCCCCAAGGTGTTCCCCACGTGCCTTTAAAAAAAAAAAAAAAAAAAAAAAAAAAAAAAAGAACTATTTATTTTATTTGTTATCTTTTTTTTTTTTAATTTGACCAGAGAGGGACACACAGAAAGAGAAAGTGAGAAAGCAAGCCTCCAGGTCCAGGACTGAAACCATGGTCAGCAATATGGGAGTCCAACACCTCAACCACTGTACCATCTATTGGCCCCCCACATGCCTTTTTAAGGGCAAAATTAGGGGAAGTGGTCCCAGGCACCTGATCAGTCCAGTGATTGTTTCAAGGGCGTGATCATCTTGTGGGCATTCTTGATTGGTGATCATCAAATTTCTCTTCAGGTGTCTGGAGCCTTTCAGCCTGGGGTCTTTGAGCTCACAGCTAGCAATTTCCAGCCTACAAAATATCTTACTACTGAAATGAAAACCTTATCTTTCCTTTAAGTGAGAGCTTTAGAGGTCAGATGGCCCCTCTTTGTGGTCAATGTTGTTTTATTATCATAACCAAAGTCTGAAGACTTAATCCTTACTCTGGGCCATTACAATGTAAATGGACCTTATATTTCAAGAACCTTAGAAAATACTTTAGTGGGTCCTTGCTGGGTTTCAATGTTTGCTGTATAGAGAATGGTGTATAGAGATTTTTCTGTATAGAAAAATCCAGAACTCCGGATCAGTTTTTCAAACCTTGGAACTTGTGAGTTAACTGTCCTGCTATGGAGGCAGTATAATTAGTTCTGTTAATGGTGACACATCTCAGTTTTTGGACGGGATCATTTAGGGCAAAAAAAAGGGAAAGAATATTCATGTCTGGAAGTATGAGTTTTTAAATAAAAGCATTTTTTATATAAATCATGTATGAATTCACATTCATTTTTGGCTTTGTTTAATAGGATCCATGTTTTCACAAGCTATGAAGAAATGGGTACAAGGAAGTACTGATGAGGTAAATTCTACTTCTATCATTATTATTATTTTTTAAAGTTTTCTTTCTTTTATAAGATAGATAGCACCCCTAACAGGAGCCCCCCCAAGAGGGTCTGAGCTCCATGAACCCTCCCAGCCGTGGCCAGCCCTGGGTCACGGGTACACATGTGCTTGGGCACTGGGGAGGGCTCAGTAGCATAAAGAGATTTCTTTTAGTGTAAAGAGATTTCTGCTTATGAGTCTTGTCTAAGTAAGGGTTCAGATTTTCTCTAGTCCCCTGTTTAAGCAGCCTGGCACATCCGTGCTTCCTTATCCGGCATGCTACAAAACAAGGTGGGCCCTTCTCAGCACCTAACAGTTGTCTGGTGGTGGTGGCAGTCCAGAGACTGGGGCCACTGAAAGATACCCAGGTGTGCAAGCTGCCCTTGGGCCAGTAGGTGTCAGTCAGCCCGCACGCCAGAGGTTGAATGTATCCTCCCCCACTGTGGTTCTCTTTACAGAACTGGGGCCTTGTGTTGTGAAAAGTTCGGTACCCTGAGAGATGGCGAGGAAGGAAAAGGTGTTTTATTTTAACCATTGGCCATAGAGGTGGTCATGGTGTTGGGTCCAACATTCGGTTACTGGCTCTGGGTGACAGTGAATGGCATCTTCATACAGAGGGGGCCCAGATTCTTTTCTACATGAGAATGTGCTTCTTGTCCAAATAAGCAGAAACGAGAGGCATAGACAGGTGCGTTTAGAGCGCTGCTCATATGCATGTTGAGCCTTCTAATGAATGACCATTATCAACTGTTTGAATTACTTCCTTTAGGCGCAAGAAGAGCTAGCCTGGAAGATTGCTAAGATGATAGTCAGTGATGTTATGCAGCAGGCGCAATATGACCAACCCTTAGAGAAATGTACAAAGGTAAGGGTCACTTGTGTTCTAATCTCACTTGTGTAATGCTGAAAAGGAGTGTATTTCTGGTAGGTAAAAATAAAGAAGGACATAGGGGCTTCTGTATCTGCTGCGAGAATTGCCTTCTCATCATAACAACTAGAAAACTGACCAGTTACATGAAACAGCTGTTTCCAGATATTGACAATAGGAAATTGAGAGCTGTAATCATAGAAGTAAGATCCCCAGTTCACTGTGTAGAAACAGGTTCCAGAGTGTACAGAAGTGGAAACGAAACGGAGCCCAAATCAGGTTCACTCGCCCAAGGGCTGTAAAACCAAACCATAGACTCATGGTGTTGTTGCAGAAGACCAGATGCCGAGGGATGGAAAGCAAAGCAGTGCCCGGAGAGATTAGAACTGTTTATTACGCTGGTGGGAACAGAGGAGTTAGCACTCTGAATCGCCGCCCCGACTTGGGGTTGGACGCAGTCTTTTATGGGGAAACTGGGGAAGGGGCTCAGGATAGGGAATGGGCTCAGAACCCATCCCACATAGCATCAAAGGGAGGAGTAAGAGAAGTAGGAAGTCTTAATCTATTCAAGATTTCAGGTTATCCTGTAGCTCTGGGGAGGGCAGTAAGTTTGCAGAGAGCAGAAATTTCAGGCAGCTGTCAGCCCTGAGTTAATCATGAATTCAGGGTCCTTCGGTATCAGGGATGAAGGAAAGGACAGTCTTATTGCCAAGCGCAAAGCAAGGAGAGCAGGTAGCTCATGCTGAAAAGACCTGGTTTCCCCATATGTTCCTCACATGCCTTTTTAAGGGCAGAATTAGGGGCAGAGGTCCCAGGGGCATGATCAGTTCAGTGATTGGTTCGAGAGGACATGATCATCTCCTGGGCATCCTTGATTGGTGAGGCCTTGGATAATCAAATTTCTGTTTGGGTTTCTGGGGCCATTCAGCCTGGGGTCTTTGAGCTCAGCCAGCAGCTTCCATTCTACAAAACATCTTACCTATTGAAAAATGAAAACCTTCTCTTTCCTTTAAGTGAGAATTTTAGAGGTCAAATGGCCCTTATTTGTGGTCAGTGTTGTTTCATTATCAAAACCAAAGTCTGAAGTCTTACCCTTTACTCTGGGCCATTACAATGTAAATGGACCTTGCATTCCAAGGACCTTAGGAAATGCACTTTATGGGACCAGCAGTTAGAGTAATGGATGGGTGTGTTGCTGGACTCCCATGTTGTCCACCATAGTTCACATCCTGGACCCGGTGGCTTAAAACTCACACCGGGTGCGTGTGCGGTGCGTGCGTGCGTGCCCAAGATCCCAAGAGGAGAATGGAAGAGAAGGGACCGTCTCTCTGTCTCTCTGGCAAGTGCACGTGCCCTATAGCAAAAAATTCTCCGAAAAGAAAAGAAAATGCTCTTTACTTTTGACTCAGCCCTTACTAATTTTCAGTTTGGGAAATTCTCACTTTTTCTTTAATGGATGGGGAAACTGAGGACTCATCCCTCTTAGGGGTTCCCTGCTCAATTTCACCGGTAGTCTTGCTAAACTAAAGATTCAGACTTCAAAGTTCAGTCAGCCTCATATGGCTAGATGCCAGACACGGTCTCAGAAAACAGGGAGCTGCTCAGAAAGAGAGCAGCAGAGATGGCTAGAGAGGTCCACTCGAGTCCTTGCTCAACTACTCTTGTCTGTATATTGGGTGAGAATGCGCGTGTGCAGGGAAGGAATCACCAGACATTAGTGGGTTAAACGATGCGATCCGGAAACAGAGGCGGGAATAGTTCATGTTCCTCCTGGCCTCGGTGTAATGTAATAGTGTCGGCGGAGATAATCTACTCCAAAAAAGTAATAATTGATAATGAATGCGGTTTATTTCCAAGCAGAATATGACTAACCTAGGCCTGGAGAGCAGGCAAACATGCCTTTCTCAGGGTGATCAGTTACAGGAGTTCCTTTTATTTGATTTTGAGAGTGACAGACAAAATTAGTGAAGAGATTTCCATTGGTCTGGCCCAAAAAGGCGGGACATGGGGGGGGGCTTGTAGGTTATAGGTGGGGTCCACAATTCTTAGGTGGTGATTGGAAGGGAAGATTCTGTTGGGAAGAGATTAGTTAAAGAAAGGCTTAATCTACAGCTCAAGGAAGAGAGAAGTTCTGTGTCTTTCTGTGTCTGGGGAAGAGATAAGCAAAAGAATATACTGTAATCATGTACATCTCAAAGATACTATGCCAGGGACAAGAGGTAGGAAGAATCCTGTTCATAGAAAATAATGGTCTGTTAATGTTTGTGGGCGTGACTTCCCCAGTCCCCTTTTGAAAAGATTTTGGAAAAATAGGAAAAGTAGTCAGACTTCTGTCCACAACAGTTTGAGTCCTAGACCTGGCAGCTTGAAAATCACATGGGATGCATGTGCATGCATACCCGAAATCGCAGGAGAATGAAGGAAAAGGGATTGTGGCATGGCCATCACCTCGGGGATTTCTCACTTTCCCTCAGTGTCTTTCCCTGTCTCTGGCAGTGCACCCACCCTATGGCAAAAACCTGGAAGGAAGGAAGAGGAAGGAAGGAAGGAAGGAAGGAAGGAAGGAAGGAAGGAAGGAAGGAAAATAAGTTTTAAGAGGATCATACTGCTCTTTAAGGAAGGACTGCATGTCAGGACAAAAACCAACCCTCTTCAAAGGAACACAACAAAATTTAGCATGTCGCAGTATAAAGCTTCAATGTCTGACATTCAGTCAAAAGTTTACTGGGCATGGGGGCTGGCAGGTGGCGTGGTGGTTAATGGCTCTGGATTCCCACATGGCTGACCGCGGTTCAAGTCCTGGACCTGGCAGCTTGCTTTCTCTCTTTTGCTCTCTCTCTCTCTCCTCCCCCCTCCCTCCCCATCAAATTGAAATAAGTAAGTAAATAAATAAATAAATAAAGTTAAATAAAATAATTATTTTTAAAAAGTTATCAGGCATGTAAGGAAGCAGAAAAACTTGACCCATAATCAGGATGTTACCGAGCTCAAATCAGGTTCGCTCGCCCAAGCGCTATAAAACCAAGCCATATAGGCACATGGTGTGATGAAAGAAAGTACAGCTTTATTGCAAAACGCAAAGCAAGGAGAGCGGGCAGCTCATGCTGAAAAGACCCGGTCTCCCCGAGATGTTCCACATGCCTTTTTAAGGGCAAAATTAGGGGCAGAGGTGCAGGATCAGTTCAGTGATTGGTTTAAGAGGGCGTGACCATCTCGTGGACATTCTTGATTGGTGAGGCCTTAGATAATCAAATTCCTCTTCAGGTGTCTGGAGCCATTCAGCCTGGTGAGCTCACAACCAGCCGTTTCCAGCCTGCAAAACATCTTACACATTGAAATGAAAACCTTCTTTCCTTTAAGTGAGAGTTGTTTTTGTTTTTTTTTTTTTTTTGAGAGATTTTCACTGTAGGGCGTGTGCGCGCGCCAGACAGACAGAGAGAGACATAGAGACAGAAAGCGAGAAATCACCCCCCAGGGGGGATGGTCACGCCGCAATCCCCTCTCCTCCATTCTTCTCTCGGGATCTTGGGCACGCACGCACACGCGCCCGGCGTGAGTTTTTTAAGCCACCGGGTCCGGGACACGAACCGCGGTCGACTACGTGGGAATCCAGCGACACAGCCATTACGCTAACTGCTGGTTCCCTAAGTGAGAGTTTTTGAGGTCAAATGGCCCTCACTCAGGGTCCTTGTTGGTCATTATCATTACCAAAGTCTGAAGACTTAATCCTTACTCTGGGCCATTACAATGCAAATGGACTTTATATTTCAGGAATCCTACAAAATACATTACGGGGTTCTTGCTCGATTTCAAGGAGAAAACTCAATGTATAGAAACAAACCCTGAAAATGAGAAAGATTGTAAATTTAGCGGACAAAGATCATGAAACTATTTTAAATATTAAAAATATGTTTGGGGGGCCAGCAGATAAAGTGGTAGTGAAAGTCCTGGACTCCCACATGGCCAACCATGGTTCAAGTCTCAGACCTGGCGGCTTGAAAATCATGCCAGGCACATGAGACTGTGTGCCCAAGATCTGAGAGGAGAATGGAAAAGGGTTGCAGTGTGGCCACCTCCCGGGGGCGAGGAGGGGGAGCGCTGGTTT